AAGCAAATCTTCAAAAAATGACCTTAATGAAAATTTGTGCCTGTACTGTGCCATTGTTTCAGCATACTGCTAATGTATACAACTGCTTTAGTTCTGGTTTACAGGCTGCTGCAGTCTCCCACTCTTCCTACTGTAGAATCAATAAGCATCTGAAAATACATAATGAAAGTAATTTAACATACTGAAGGCTTCTTGTCTCCAGAGACACCACTGAGATTCAAGCTTTCTAAAAAAGAAAAGCAGTGCTTCTGAGAGGAAAGCTTGCGATGGGCAGCTTTTGCAGAATGACAGCCTACCTTGTCGCTTCTCCTCACTGCAGAGAGATGCAGTGCATTCACTAATTTTGATTGGTCAGTGATGTTGGGCTTAAATTGTGCTTCATATATGGGATTGATGCCTCCCCTCCCCCCGATTTATATAAGGATTCTTCTATGAAAGGACTAAATTTACAAATGATTTATGAATTCTGGAATATATTAAGGGTATGCCACTTTTATTTTTACCTTTTCACTCTTTGCTTTGTGTACACTGGAAACCACATGACACTAGAAAAAAAAAAAGGGATTAAACGTTTATTACTTAAAAAGCTTCCAACAATCTATATTTGAATTTGCCTACTTTCCGTGTGTAGGCTTTTTTTTTTTTTTTTGGTCCTAAGAACATCTCTGAAATAAAACTGCCTCTTTGAGCCATGCTGAATTTCACCTGATATGTTTATATGCAAGTGAACATTTAGGTCTTGTCTTGAATAAATTGTGCTTAGGACAAGTTGGTACCCACATGTATATTAGGAAAATTTCTCTTAGGATTCACAGAGATTGTTCAGACCCTTAAAATGGGTTAATAATGCAGTTTAATTCATGAACCAGAAAAGAATGTTTTTAATGATCCATCACCATTTACAAAGTATGTATAGTAGTGTAGGTTCTTAATTTTGTTGAAATGTTAACTTCTAAAAAAAATCTTGTATGTTCCACATGAATTTTGCTAGAGACTTCACAGGTTTTTGTAAGGATGTCTTGCATGACATTCTTGACCTTCGCTTTGCAGGGAGCAGCGGGTGTCTTCATTTTCACTTTTTTATTTTGTAACTTGTTTCTGAATCTCTCCTCCTATTACTACAAACAGTGTTCACAACCACGTAATAAGGAGTAAGAGAAGTGTAGCACAATATCTGTTTTAATTAGTACTAATGCTAAGATAAACTTTGGAAATAAACTAAGTATACAACCCAAAATGATATTTTTAAAAAAATCTGTTTGCTGAAGCAAGTAATTTAAGAATATCTGAGTATAAAATGTTCTGCTGCTAGTGTTTAATCACAAGTAAGTGTGGAGTGTGGGGCTTTTTCTGTATTTTTTTCTTGATTTAAAAATTTT